TCTTTGGTGTTCTATCGAAAAAGAAATTCTATTATAAACTATTGATTAGAAAGGACTAGATCGATATTGATCACGTCAGTTTACAACAGATGATCAATTCTATTAAAAATATAAAAAGAATACTTAATAAATTAAATTCAATTATTTTCGTCGACTACTATTTGTGATCTATTTAATAAATTATATTTCTTTATTGATTTATTTACAATATACGAATTAAAATAATATTTTAAGACAAGTTTTTCTGCTGTTTTATGATGAAAAAAAAATTTTTTTTTAAATCTATGAATATAGAACTATTTTAAAAAAACTGAAAACTTTTTTGTTTGAGAAACGTTGAACTATTGATGAAAAATGAATTTTTTCATGAAATCGTTTTCATGTTGAAAATAATCATAGAAAATTTTCATGATTATTTGCAAGATAATCTACATTTCAAATAATATTTTATTTAATTAAATTCTTATATAAATATCTGTTTAAAAATAAATTCATATTGATTGATTTTCTCAAATCATATTCATATGTAAATATATAAGACTAACAAATATAATCAATATTTTATTTCATATTTAAATAATATATATATATATATAGAATATTATTATTTATCTGTTTGTTGATATAGAAGAGGTAATTTATGGAATAAACGATGGACTTCTATTTCGAGAGATGTTAACAATAGCTTTCCTTTAGTCTATTTCTATATATTATTTTGTTCGAAAATCTTTATCGGAATATTCTATCAAATAAACAAATTATTTTCTTTTATTAAACAATTCAATATGAATCAACAACATGAAGAAATCCTTGAAAAAAAAAATAATTCTCTTTTATTTTATCTTAAATAAATATCTTTTATTTTAAAATCTTCAAACAATATATGAATATGATCACAAAAACTAAGTAAGTTATTCATTTATAAAGGTTTTTTGTTTTTCTTTAAAATCATATTAAATAGATATTAGAAGAAAACATTTTTTTTCCATTTATTATCTGATAACACTTACAATATTTGAATAAAAACAAAAATTTTCACGTCTTTTTCTCATGTTTGGAGAAAGATTATCATCAATCTATCTCGAAACATATTTATTTTTATTTATTCGATTTATATTTTTATAGAGAATGTTTTCCTTAACAAATATCTAATCGAATTAAAAAAAATGTTAAATTGTTTATTTTTATCTAGTCTCGCTCTATTCAACTATTTATTAGAATATTTTCTTTTTTTTTTCTCAATAATATGATCAAATACAAAATAAACTCTCATTTATATTAATATATATTGACAATGATTAATTTTCCTTTTAATTAAATAAATATATATAAGACAATGATCAACTATATCTATATATATTATATTCATTTTGACAAATATTCATTAGACATTTATTTTATAAAACAATAATAGATAATATTATTCTAACTGAACGAACGGATATATTCAATTGTATTCATTTTTTTCATATATTATCATCAATTTATTTAAATAGAAATTTTCATTTATCAAATATTTTTATCACTTTTTAAAAGAATTGTTTTTCTCAAAAATAAAATAATATTTATTTCGAAATTAATTTTTCTCGATATCTATTAACAATAAAAATGAAAAAAAAAAAAGATTTATTTTTTATCATATACAGTATATTATTACACTTATATCAGATCAGACATTATCCTTTTCGACTATTTACATTTATTTATATTGATTATTTTAATCATCTCTATTTAATCATATATTAACATATGTTTTACTCGACTTCATTTCTAAATTATCAACAACAGCAAAATTAATTAAAGTCTAAGTGGTTGATAATCAAGTATAAGATGAATAAAATCATTTGATGATATATCAAATTTTGATGGAAGATTATACCAATTATCAATATGACCTAAAATAATAAATATACGTATAGAAGAATAAATAAAATAATATATATTAAAATAACATTTTTTTGTATAAATCTTGTAAATTAATTTTTAATGAACCAATTTTATCGTTAATTATTAAATCTTTATCATAAACATCAATATGAAGAATATCTTGTCCTTGTAAATGATTACTATTTTAATTATACAATATTTAATTAATAAAAATACAAAAAATAAATAAAAAGAATCTTACAAAACAAATGTTTCATTCCAATAAGGATTTTTTGTATTTGATATAACTTTTGTTTTTTGTTTTTGTTTTTTATCATCAAGATATATTTGAACAAATGGATCACTTTCACTAAATAAATCTTTCTTTTTTAAATTTCTTCCTTCAACAACAGTCACTTGAAGTTGTGCCATTGAATACCTTTTTTTTGTTTTTTGATAAAATATAACTCGAGACAACTATTTATCACATGTATATAATTATTCAAAATGAATAAATACATACTTATCAATCTGTGTCAATAGAAATAAAAAACAAAAAAGAAACAAGAAACAAGAAACACGAAACAAGAAAATGTGACTCGTTATCGAAAGGAAAGAAAAAAAAGACTTCGTTTCGATTAAATTATACTACCCAGGTCGGACGATACGGTTACTTTACGGACCGTACTACAGTGACTTTTTCACCGTATACGATACCGTATTACTGCATCCACTCATACGGAGTAATACGGACTATTTACGGCCGTAAACTAGCCATTTTTTCATCGTTTACTGTCCGAAAACGACCCCGTAACGGGTATCGGTTTTGATCGACCCGGGCATTCTTAATAAAATATCTTTTATAACTGGACAAGGTCAATTATCTTAGGAGCTAACAAAAGCATTTATCACCTTCTCTAAGAAAATTTATTGGTTTCTGCCAATTTGAATTTATAATTAATTAAACGCAATGTTCAAGTTGAATAATCATTTTGAAGACGAAGAAAGTTGATTGGCTTGATTTAAAGCATAGAGAAATCGAATTGATTGAAATCAACGTAGAAAGATATCTCTAATTTTGTCGACATTAAAGCATCAATCTATATTATTGATCAATAATCGATTAATCATATTTTATTCTAATCGACACTAGTAGTCTAATCAAGGTTTTACCGATGGGAGGGATTATCGAAGCTTGATTCGTTGGACTTTGTTCTAAGCGAGGATCATTCCTCGTCAAAACCGTTTCAATCTGCTGTCTTATGGTAGAACTCAACATTCTGTTTGGAGGACTGAGCGTCCTGATCCTAATTTATCTACGAAATATTAGTCAAGTATATTTCAATCTCTTTCAAGTATCTTTTGACTCGAGCATATTATCAATTGATTGACATTGAAATATTCGCTTAATGATATCTTACATCAGGTAATTTTCTTTGAAAATGCTTTAATAACAAAAGTGATATATGATTTCGAAGGATATAGAATCAAAGCTCACATGAAGTCAATCTTGAACAGATAATATTAGTGACATGCCAGTTATCATAGTTATTTTTCTATATATTAAGACTTATTTAACTTCAAAATAAGTCTTTCATTGTTTATCAATGATCGATTCGTTCTCTTTTATCAGAACTACTTCTGCACATGTATGACTAGTTACGTAAATGTTGTATCTATGTAAGTGTTATGCAATGAGTCATATTTGTTGTAGGATTTTATTCTGTTCTGTGTGTGTTTTCTTACACATGAAGTGTTTTATATAATACAACAACTATGACTAATTACATAAAACTTACATAGATACAACATTTACTTAACTAGTCATACATGCGCAGAAGTACACACTAAATAAAAATGTGTCGCATGTGTCGTGATTTGCGACACATTGCAGTATGACACAAGGAGCTCACTGCGACACATTTTCTCCAGCGAGACTGCGACACATTTTGTACGACACATGCGACACATTTTCTATTGGTTCTTTTCGAAAAGCATAACTATTTCAATTTTTTTCTGTTCAATATAATTCCATTGAATTATTTCTATGGTGAAAACTCTAGCAGGTTAGATCCTGAGATCTGTCCTGCTTCGGGTTGATCTGATTTGCATCAGACGACTCCAATGTAGTCCTTTCTCGATGATGAGTCGAGATTGGCATTTTCTCGACAAAGACTATCGAGAAATAATTTAGAAAAAAAGTATATTTTGAAAATTCATCTTTCTTACGTTCAACCACGTTGTTTATATATCGTCATGTCTAGGGATGCAACGGTGACGGTGGTCACCGGTGTGATCGGTCTACGGTTCACCGTTCACCGGTCTCACCGGTCCGCCGGTGCACCGTTCACCGGTTTCACCGGTCCACCGGTGCACCGTACCAACCGGTGATACCGGTGGACCGGTCACCGGCGTAGCGGTGCACCGTTCACCGTTCCACCGGTATACGAGCACCGTAAGCACCGCTCATAATATACTACAAAACAAAGCTACTCAGTTGAAACTGAGTCCAATTAAAAGTGAAACTGACCATCTCTTAATCGAAAAGAGCGCATATATTTGATATTCGTCTACTTTCTGTAATTTATCGGCATACTTCACAAAATTTAATAAAATTTTTTTGTATGCTGATCGCTCCTTCAATACGATGCGGACTGTAGGCGTACGTCAGATAACATTAGGATGCTCATATAGCTGATACTCGTTAGCGCAAGGCTATCTGAGTATGAAAGATGCTTATACAAAAAACTTAGGTATGCCGCGTCAACAAACACTTTTAAGGTCAACAATAGCTGTTGAAATATCAGGAATGTACGGTGATCGCCGGTTTATAACATTCTATTGACTCATCAAGCTTAGGATAACCAGCAGTACGCTTTTAATGCCCGCCACCGGAAGTTTTCTTGACTCTATCGGTGCCATAACCGGCATGATTATCACATTCATCGATGAAGAAAATTTTCATCTGCTATAGTGAGCAGATCTAAATTACGTGTTTTTACGCACTACCATTAATCCTAATCATGTTGGTTCGGAGAGCGGAGACCTTCAGTAGCAGATAGCTTCTAATATTTCACAGACTCACTGAAGACCAGAGGAACCAGTAATGGTAAACTAGTTATCACTATCGTATGATTTCGTGAATCTGTCAGTCGTCTAACTAACGTCGTAGACAGTCTCTGGAAAAAGTTTTCACATGATGTATCGCCGCGTACTCAAATATATAGTTTTGTACATCATGATGAAATTTTGAAATGCTGGTCAGAGAGCAGGAACCTAGAGCGATGACCGCTTTGAAGCATTTGACAAGCTTATTGATGCTCAGAGTAATCAGTAATGCCCTTGCAACCATCATCACCGTAGGTTCCTGTGACAATATCGGTCATAAAACTGGCATCGCTATCATACTGATTTAGGGAAAAAGCTTTCATATACGATAATGCATCGCTGTAAATCATATACTTTTAAGGGTTACCATGTAGTCCTAGAATGCCCGTTACTAGAGCGGAGACCCACGGTGATAGATGGTTTCTAGCATTTTCAGATTTATGAAGCCTCAGGGTAACCAGCAGTGTCCATTTACTCACCATCACCGTAGACATTGGTCACCCTATCGATTCTATTATTAGCTTTGTAGTCATGCACATCTTGGAAAAATTTTTTATTATCGGTCTTGTCGTACACTCAGTTGTTTCTCTGTAAGTTCACCTATTCGGAATTTCGCCAACAGTGCACTCACTAGTGGCGAATTTCCCTGCGACATTCGCCAATAGGTGAATCTCTGGTATGAAATTTATCAAAAAATATTTATTTTTGCCTTAGTATGTTTACCAATGGGCGACTGTCATGGAGAAATTTGCCAATTTGGCGAATTCCCAGTGTGAAATTCGCCAATAAACTTTTTTCGTCATAATGTATTGATCAATTCGCGAGTCGCTAGCGTGTATTTCGCCAAATTTAATCCGTAGAATTATGGCCCAGCTAAATTGATGATAGAATATTTAAGTATTATAGGATGTGTATGGATCGTGGGTATGAGTATAGGTTAAGCGCATATACAACCCTCAGACTTGCACCCGCACCCATATCCACATCAAGTCAGCTACAACTAGACCATTTTTCGTTAGTATATTCGCCAATTAGCGAATTTCAGCCAGTTGGCGAAAAGGAAGATTGGCAATCATATAATTCCTCCAATCGACGTTACAGTTTTGACCGTCAACATAAATGCTAATAATGGAAATTAGAGAGTGGAAACCTATGAGTATGGCAGATTCAAAGAATTTTATTGACTAGTTCAGGCTCAACATAACAGACAATATTCGTCTAGCAGCCACCACTGTAGGTCTTCATTTTTATACCGACTACCTCGTTAGCCTGATAATTATATTCCTGCATAAGTGTCTCGAATGCGACTACACTCTCAAATCAAGAATACAGTTTCAATCATAGAGTTTAAGGCGAGCATGGCAGGTAAGAATATTAGGAGCTCACTGATATAGTCGATTTTGATCATTTTTCAGGCACCTACATGCTTGCATCAATCTTTGGTGCTGTTACATCAGAGATTGGCATAAGTTTTCATGGTTCCGCTGACCCTTTTCTTAATTGAATCACAGTCATCAAGTATGAAGGAAACGCTTTATGTGTTATAGTACCGTCTAGTAAGGAGTATAGCTTCGACTATCGCTATGAATGTTAGTGAGACAACGATGACGATAACCTTAGGTATGGTTACGGGTTCACTATGTAAACCATTGGTACGGTTATTGCTACAACTAAGAAAACCGTACCTACGATTTCAGAGTCAATTATGATAACCATAGGTACAATTATCAATTCTAGAGGGCTTTCGTGAAATATAGTATTTTCTAACACACTAGCGAATTCCTATGAAAGTTGAAGAAAGATGACTATGATCAGAAAATCTGGATCTGAATTCAAATTTTAGAAATGGTTAATTTGACTTCGGACACTAAGGAAAGGCTTTTTAAGAAGATGCTGATATTTAATAAAGAGTAACGAAAGTGAATGGATTTCCAGAAGCTTGAATCTGATATCAATTTATCAAGGTTCTACGTTCTAATTATCAATAAAATGGTTCCTTGATGAATGCTATAGTTTTTTTAAGAATTAGAGTCGAATGCGTCAAGTTGCATTTCCCTTCATCAACCTATCAAGGAAATAGTTATTTTCATAATAAACACTCACTTAATCTAAAAACTTCAGTTTGAAATATTCAAAGACTGACTTTGAGTACAGACTCTCCAGCGCCTGTTTACTTTGCTAACCTTTATAAAAACCGTACTCTCTTAAAAGTGTTGTTTTTCGTGGCACTCATTTTGACCTAATAACTGTGCCTAGGAGGATCGTAGTTAGACCGGTAGCTGTAAGTGCGGTTATCGCAATTGGACTATCAGTCGTACCTATGA